TGCCATCATTTATTTCTACTTGAGACCTGAGTCACTCTGGTGATCCAGCATCATACCCCACTCTTGCACAACTTTTCCCCATGTGTCCTGGATCTTTGGAGTGGAAGATGGTTGTGAATGCCAGCTTGAGGGGTTGAGGTTAAAGAAGAAAAGCAAGGGTGGATGTGAAAGTGTGGATCCTGCAGTTGGGATGCAAGGCTAATGAAGCACTTACAGCCCTTGATGTATTTCATTAAAAGAAATCAGATTTAAATGTAGCTCTTCTCTTTTTGGAGGTGTGAGCTATGTTTGTGTTGAGGGTAAGGGTGTCATTCTCCTCCTCCCTGAAAAAATTGGCCCCCTTTTCTTGAAAAACCTGCCTAGCCTTGGACATACTGGGGTCTGGCTGTGCTTTAGCTGGGCCTGCCTATTCTGACATAAACTGTCTGTTCTTCCCCAATCCTTCATCAGAAGAAACAAACAAAGAAGGAGAAGGAGCTGGAGAAGCAGAAGAAGGAGAAAGAGCTGTGCAAATTGGAGGCAGCCCTGATGGACCCCAGTCGTCAGCCCCAATCAGCAGATGATTTTGACCGTCTGGTGCTGAGTAGTCCCAACAGCTCCATCCTCTGGCTGCAGTATATGGCTTTCCACCTCCAGGCTACTGAGATTGAGAAGGCCAGAGCTGTGGCAGAGAGAGCACTTAAAACAATCTGTTTCAGGTAATAGTGGGGTTTTGCTTTTCTTTGCCTCGTAGAATAATTAATGGCGCATTAATGGTGATGGAAGAAAAACACTGGTAGTGCCATCAGTGTGTTGTGTGCATGTGAAGTGGGAAGTTCTGTTTCAGCGAGCTCAGAAGAATTAAATGGTAGCAATTGTCAGCTGGCCCTTTGAAGGTATGATGTGAGTCACTACACTTGGTCTGCAGCTGGATTGCTGCAGCTTGTGGGCACAGTAACTCCCCAGGGTATCACTGAGTACACAGACATACCTCTGAGCTGTTGGAAGGATTTGGAAGAGCGTAATGCTGTTAGGGATGTCCATAAATGAAGTAATGAAATAAACTGTGAAACTCGTATTACCCATTCCATAGGGCTACACCCTTGGGTATTAAAGCATCTCCACAGCATGGTAAAGAGCATTTTGTTCTCTTGAATTATCCTTGTGGTTTTTAGTTACAAACAACAGTGATCAAAAGTTGTAGGATGAAACAACTGCTGTGCTTATTCCAAGAGTGGTTTTTCACTTGTCTTGATAACATGCTACAAGTCAGCAAGTCTTCGGGTGGCTTGCAGAAAGCTGATGTAGGCTGATAAAAGGCTGTATGTTCTTGCTCATATCTGCTTTAAGGGAAGAACAAGAGAAGCTGAATGTCTGGGTTGCTCTTCTAAACTTGGAGAACATGTATGGCACTGAGGAAACACTGATGAAGGTCTTTGAGAGAGCTGTTCAGTACAATGAACCTCTGAAAGTCTTCCAGCATCTGTGTGATATCTATGCCAGTTCTGAGAAGTACAAGGTGAGATTGTGCAAGCACTTCCCAGGCAAGTATCCTGTTCTGTCATGTCAGTAAACCACCAGTCCTGGCTGCATAAGCTTCTGGCCCTCAGACGTTAGTCCTGTCCTGTTCCTTGCTGGGATTAATAGTTGTTGTTGGCATCAGATGAAGAACTATTGATACTTACTTCTCACAAATGTTAAGAGACACCTGGGCCAGAAACAAGAGTTTAATGAGCGAGAATTTAATGAGCTACAGGGCTTTGTTATGAATCTGTGTGATCTAACCCAACTTTGCCATTCCAGCAAGCAGAAGAATTGTACCACACAATGCTGAGGCGTTTCCGTCAAGAAAAATCAGTGTGGCTGAAGTATGCCTCTTTCCTCCTGAAGCAAGGCCAGACTGAGGCTACACACAGGCTTTTGGAGCGTGCTCTCAAGGCTCTGCCCACCAAAGAACGTAAGCACTCGTTGCGAATCATAATTTGGACTATGCATTTATGGGTCTCCAGTAGATGGGCTGATATGTCTGCATGTGACAATGATTGTAGTAAGTGAAAACTGCAGCCAAATAGTGTTGAATCTGCTTTCCTTGACTGTAAGGGGAGGGAAAAATTCAGCCTGGATAACAATAGTAAAGCCTCTTGTAAAACAAACAAAAATTAAATTGCAGCTCCTTCACACTGGCCCTCCACCTTGGACCAGAATCACTTTACATACTAGTCTCTGAACAGAGATGATGCTGTCTCTGTGCTTGTCATTTCTGTGTAATTATAACTCAATTTGTGTCTCTTCATAGGAAAGAGGGTTGCTGTGATCCCCTAACATGTCATTACTTGTTCCAGATGTGGATGTCATTTCAAGGTTTGCACAGTTGGAGTTCCGTTTTGGTGACCCAGAACATGCCAAGGCCCTTTTTGAGAGCACCCTCAACAGCTACCCAAAGCGAACAGATATCTGGTCCATCTACATGGACATCATGATCAAACAGGGCAGCCAGAAGGAAGTACGGTGAGTTGTGCTATAGGTGGCTGGGAAAGGGACAGCATAGTGCTTAGAGTAACACCTGAAAAGAGCACAAGTGCCCTGCAACGTGATACTGCTGAGGGCCTCCCAGAGCAAAAGAGAATTTGTACCTCATAGAGAAAGAAAACACCAAAAGCTTGTTCTCCCCAGGTCTGGGAAGACTCCAAGGAGATCTGCATGGCAGAGTTAGTAATTAATAGTAAGGAATGACCTGCAGAACAAAAACTAGAGGGCTTTCAGTAAGGTTCAGCCCTTTTATCTCTTGTAGCATGAAACTAAGAAGAATGGTCTCTTTTTTGCTGAGATGACAAAATGAAGTTCAGCTTCTCACACTGTAGATCCAGCTGCAGGCATTTCATGAACATTGAGTCAAATACATTGGCTAGATCTTAGTGTAAACTGTCCTGCAACTTTACAGTTATGAAGAAGGCTTCTGCTTTGAGGCTTTCACCAGTTCTCATGAATCTCTTTCTTGAGGCATTAGATTGTGGCTCCCATGAGCTTCTGCGCTTTGCTCAGTGGCTCAATGCACAGGGCTTGTGTTGAGTGCTGTCACCAACATAGTAATCTGAATCACTTCGGTTTCTTGCAGGGACATCTTTGAGAAGGTCATACACCTGAACTTAGCACCGAAGAAGATGAAATTCTTCTTTAAGCGCTACCTGGATTATGAAAAGAAATATGGTACAGCAGAAACTGTCATGGCTGTTAAGACAGCAGCACTGGAGTATGTAGAGGCCAAGAGTTCCCTCGCTGACACCTAAACACAGTGCAAGTAAAAGCAGAGAGACTCCACTCTCCATTGCAAAGTGGGAACTGAGAGGCATGGAGTTTCCATGGACAGTGAATTTCTGAAGAGTATTGGTCTATGACCAAACTGAAATAGAAAGATCAAACAATCTAAAGAATCTAAAGCTTACAAACGTTTGCAGCTTTGTCTGAATGTTACAAATAATCTTTGTCTGTTGATGACTGAAGACAGTTTTATGTACAGATCGTTTTATAATCAATATAAACATCACCCCTACCTGGTCTACTTTCCTATGGAAATGGTGCTGTTGTGGTTCACTGCGTTTAGGTACAGGGATGTGTTACTGATTTCTCTCTCTGCCATCTTGCCTTTCACTTTTTTTGATACTTAGAAAGATTAACCTGAAGATCTTTCATGCTTCTAACAACTGACAGAGCAATGCAGAATCGTGGTATGGATGAGGTTCGGAGTAACTGCTGGAAATTATCTGGTTCAAACCTTTGCTGAAAGCAGGGTCAGCTAGAGTAGACTGCCTGGGGCCACATCCAGTTTGGTTTTGATTTCCAAGGATGGAGATGCCACAGACTCTCTGGCAACCTATTCTGGTGTTCTACTACGTTCAGAGTAAAAAAAGTAAAATGAAGGTATTTTCTTACATTTAAATAGAATTTCTTGCATTTCATTGTGTGCCCATTTTCTCTTGTACTGTCCCAGGGCACCACTAAGACTAGTCTGGTTCTACCTTTTTTTTATGCTCTCCTGACAAGTATTTATACACATGGATAAGATCTGGCTTGAGCCTTTTCTTCTTCAGCCTGAAGGCTCCAGCTCTCAGCCTCTCTTTGTATGATGGATGCTCTAGTCCTGTTGTCATCTTCCTATTCCTTTGGAGGATTCACTCTGATAAGCCCAGTGACTGTATCTCTGTACTGGGGAACCCAGCCCTGGACACATCACCCCAGATGACTCAGCACTGCAGGGTAGAAGGGAAGAATTACTTCTTTTAGCCTTCAGATAAGGTCCTTCCTAATATATCCCAGGATGTTCTTGGTCTTTTTGACTGAAAAAACTTGTACTTTTAAAGCATACAATGTCCAGTTATCATGGAATCAAGGGATCCCATGATAACAACCATCTTGTAACAAATCATCAGTGTCTGATGACAGAAGAAGTTAGTGATTTTAGATACTGGGCATCTTTTAAGATAAATCATTGAAGTTTGAAGAGAGTGTTTTTTCTGTGCTGGAAAAAAAAAAATCATCCCCAACTAACCTGCATAGAAAAAGCCAACATCTTTCATACGCTGTCACTGATACTGGTGTCTTATCCTTGGTCTTGTATTTCTCCCATAAGATGTGGATGATGTGATGGGTTTTTTATAGACAGAGAACTGAAAGTGAGGGAAGACGCAGGGGATGCAAAGAGGTGATTATCCGGTGTAGATACTGGCAAGCGGTCACCCAAGTTTGAAACAATAAACTTGAATAATCTCATTCGTTGTAGGTGCTCTGAACTTGAAACCAGAGTTCTGCAGGACTCAGCCCTTTTGCCTCTCTGAACGCCCAGCGTGGGCAAGGCTGAGTAGTTAAACGTTCAGTTAATTCCCAAATTCAATGGGATCTAAAAACAAGTTATTTTACTGCTTATCCCCAGGGACAGCAGGGTGCTGGACTCCTGCTTAATGCTCTTCTAGAGAAGGAGGATACTTTCTTGCAACATCCAGTAGTAGCTGCTGCTATTCCTTTTCTTTTTTTTTTTTAAACAGTGCAACTGCAGTAATGGTGGTTTTCCTTTAATTTTTACCCCCAAACGAATTAGTTACGTAATAGAGTACGTAAATAAGTGTCTGAATTGAAACCAAGATCCCTTTGAAGTATTTCTTTATGATTATAGGGGCTATTATAGTCTATACAGTAGTAAGCAGGGAAAATGAAAGGGCTGTGTGTAATTCTGTGTATTGGAAAGCGTGCCCTAACTGACAGCCTGTAGGCTGCTCTTTGTTGGCATTGCTTTCAGCCTCTGCAGGAGGAGCACAGAGCACGTGAGCTCAGCCTTCGTGATCCAGCATGCCAGGGGAAGACAGGCGCCTTGGCTTCCCTTTTGGTATTTTTCTTGCTTACACTGAGTGAAAAAGCTATGTGACTTAATGTCCTACTTTGAGTATTTTTGCAGAAGTTAATCAAGTCTACTTCTTCCTCAAACGCTTTTCCTTGTCTCTTTGCTCCCAGCATTTCCCACACATTGGTAGCTCTCACCCTGACTCCTTTCCTCCTTCGGTACTTTCTTCCTTCTGCTGACCTCACCTCACCCTCAGTGGGGAAGGGTGAGTGACTACCTTGGCAGGGTTATAGATAACTCTATTCATTGCAGGGGAGTTGAATGAGATGACCATTAAGGTCCACTTCCAGCTCAAATGATTCTATGATTCACAAGGGCACTGTTGGGCTACAAGGGCCAGAAGCCCAGAGCCGCATTATTGGGGACCATGCTCAGGGCTGTGGAAGAAGGGAGGAAAAACAGGAAAAAAAATCCTTACAATTGCATTGTTTGAGATTTGCTACATATTAGAGAAATACTACAGTGCAGTATTTCCAACAGCAGTGGTTTGCTCTGCTCCTTGCTGTCAGCTGCTGGCCCAAATCTGCCTCTCCAGGAAGATGGGAAGATGGGCAAGCTGCATAAGTCTCTGGCCCATCACAAGGCATGGAAAGCAGCTGGAGTTAATGGAGAAGAGAAAAGCTAAATGAAGCAAAGGCTGGGCTGTACACATGGTGTATTCTTACGATAAACAAATCCTTTAGCAAGCATTGTGTCTTGCACTCTCCTTCAAAAGGAGGGGAGAGGAGGAGAAGGAAGTGGAGGTGGTTCAAAGGAATGGGGGCTGTCACAAAGGGAAGTAAGAGGAATATGCTCATGCTACTGTTTCAGCAAGTTACCTTGCATCTGCTGACTTGCATGCGGAGGTGGCAAGCGCATATGCATGTTCACCCCCGAGGGCCTATGAGGAGAAATGCAAATTAACTTTTTTATCTCAAATGAATGCAGTTTTGTTTTTTCTTAACTTGCGTATGATCATTCCTGAAGCTTAGGTCAGCTGGTAGCTGGGCCTTCCCACAGATGAAAGGCAAATTATGGCAGAACTGATCGTGGGTCCTGGGATGCCTCCTCCACTATTTTATAATATGTGATGATACTTTAAAACACAATGTCTTGGTGTTACCTGAACAGAAAAGAATGTAAATATTTAATAGAAAGAAAATATAAGTTCCCGGTTCTTGGCTTCAAAGGGAATATTAAAACAGGCCTTCTATGACCCCCTTAAAAATGTCAAAAGGCAATGAAAAAGAACTCATTTAATAGTTTATTTCAAATCTCCTTGTGTTGAAGCCTCTCTGAGTTCAGTGAGCTTTTTTTTTTTTTTTAAACAGTTCAAGGCTTTTCAGTAAAAGGCACAGTGTAAATGGAAGTTGTGTAGAGGAACTATACAGGTAGGAAAACCAAACTCTGTTGTCCTGCCTATATAGATATATAGGTCTGACTCTCAGGCAGAAAGGGGCACAGTGCCAAAACAGTCAGCACAGTGTCAGCAATTGCAGTAGTATAATACCTCTCTGGCCTTGCTCTCAGTACTGCTGAGTCCCTAAAACAGACAGTTTGCTGCAGGGACTGTTTAAAGCAGTGGTAAGAATTTAGTTCAGTGGTGGAGGAGTAGAGAGGGTTGCTCCCCTCATCCCATTCCCACAGTCTCTTTTGCTGCAGTAACAATAGAGCAGATGAGTGCATGTAACATGGTCTTTTGGCTGGCAAGTTTCTTGCCCCCTTTCTCTGGAAGAAATATGCTCCGTTAATACAGTAAAGTATGATTATAAGTATATATATAGTGTGTGTGTGTATAACATAATTATATGTATGTAATTCTTGCTAGGGTTTTGTTCCAACCTGTCAACCAAAACAAGCAGGACTCTCATCCAATGGTGGATGAGCAATGCAATGAGCTGCACACGGTGCTGTGGTTCACTGTGGGTGCTATGCTCCCTTTGAGCCTCCACTGTGCCACCTCCCCTGAAAGCTATTCTGCTGATGGTGTCACCTTCCAGGTTTATATTCTCATGGCTGCGACCATTTGGGCTCATTAGAGGTTGCCAGACGCTTCTATAAGAACAAAAGGAGTTTAGTGTCCTACCCAAATTTCAACTTGGTAATTACAGAGTGTCCTTCTGAATGCCTACAATATTGGTGATTCCTCCTGCCTTAGTCTCTCAGTTATTTGGTGTGCTGATGTAGTACTGACCTACTCCTTCCCAGATCCTATTGTATCCTTGTTGCTACAGGAATGTGCTCACTGCTTTTCTTTCCCTCTGAAGTCTGTAAAGTTCTTCAGGATCTGTCAGTGTAACAGGCACTGCAGAACTGCATAAGAAAATACTGGTGTTGATAAAAGTGTGGGTGTGTAGGATGGCTGGGACTAGCCCTGCCACAGGGGATACAGGTGGGACTGCAAGAGTCAGAGCTAAAAATGTTCCCAGCTCTTCCTCCCTGAGGTTTCTGATGGTGCTTAAGACAGCAGGGCTCACCAGCAGCCTGGAGGTAAGGTGTGCATCTGCTTTGCTCCCCTTATCCCTCTGGGAGCACCAGCAAGATGGTTGTCTCCAAGGGAGGGGTTCCCCAGCTCAGTGCATTGCTTATCAGCCTCTACCTTGAGGCTGTTGATTCCTTTTTACCTGCTGAGAGTAGTAATCCTGCTGACAGGAATATTCCCAGCGAATCCATGAGCTGCACACCAATACTGATAGGCCTGCCAGGCAGACTGGGGAACTGCTTCCAACACCTGTCTGTCTTAGGAAGCCAAAAAGAGCATTTCATGGCCCTCTGGGGTTGGCCCATTCCCTTCCACCCCTTTTGCCCATTTGTGGAGCCGGCTATAGAGGGGAAAGCCCTTGTTCTCCCGGTAGATGTAGACACCCGTGATGGCGTTCCACTGGGGGCTTGGCTGGACGCCCTCCACTGGGAACTCCTGCACCAGCTCCTTCTCCTCCTTATCAAGTGCCACAAATCCAAAGAATTGCTTCACATTCTTTGCTGCCAGGATCCTGGAGTGCACTTCAGCCGTGCGGCGGAAAAGCTTGTCCTCGTTGGAGCGGTACTGGGCCCAGTAGGCCTCCTGCCGGTAGCTCAGCGGTGAGCAGCAGTGCTTCAGGCACTTGGTGAGGAAAACCAGGACGGCAACGATCCCAATGAGCAGCCAGCCAAAGAGCTGAGAGAGAGAGTTTGTATTAGGACATGTCAAGATGATCTTACCCGCTCCATGCAGCTCTCTTCCCAACATGCCTACCTGGGATTCATATCTCAGCCTCCGTGTCACCTCATCCCTGAACTTGGTGAGGTTTGCTGGCACGTCTTTGCAGGGGAATCTCGCCAGCACCTCAGCCCCAAACTCAGATGGGAACTTGTCCAGGGTGGATGGCCTGACAAACTCGCTGAGGGCACAGATGTAAGCCTCCCCACGCAGCAAGGAGATGACCGACCAGGTGACGGGTGCCACAGCTGCCCGGCCCATGATAGAACCGAAGAGGAGGAAGGTGGCGGCAGTGGAGAAGTTCTTGGTGCCACGCTTGTGGCACTCAGCCACTACGTTCCAGGTGTGGTTGTTCAAGATGACGCCGATGAGGAATAGTGCCAGGGCTGGGACACCGATGGCAGCCAGCCCGTAGATGTAGTTGCGGGCTGGGGAGCAGGGGCAATGGAAGGCAACAACTGAGAAGAGCTCCTCGCTGCCCACTGTGCCCAGCGCAACCAGGCCATTAAAGATCATCACATCTTTGCTCTTGAAGAACAAGGAGAGGAAGCGGAAGTTTTCAGCGATAAGAGCAGCCATCTTATCCTGGAGATGGGGGATGAGAGGAGGTGCCTACTGCAGTGGGGGGCTGTGTTGGGACACGACAGTAAGGAGTGAAATGGCCTTGGGATGACTGAAATGAAAGGGAGCACAACACCTTCACTGCAGTCACTGAGAGCTGGTGATCCAGCCTCTGGAGCTGCCTGCTCCTACCAGGGATACTTCAGAATGGATTGAGGATGGATGCAGCTTAAGTGATGTGGGAAACTTCAGACTCCTCAGTTTTCCACTAAACTGTCCAAGAGCATTTCTGTAGCAAAGATTACCGAGAGGACGATCATTTCTACCATTCTCATTAGCACATTCATAGTCTTTTGTTTGGCTTTAGTCACATCCCACAGAAGTGATGACCACTGGTGTTGCCGCTGGACACTTATTGATCTCCCAGGCCTGTAATGAAGGAGGACGCTGTGTTACTGGGGAAACTGGACCGGAGCAGTGGGGCATGGATGCGTCCCCAGCTCTGCCAATGACTCACACTCTAGCCCTCCCTCCTTAGGCCTGATGAGTTAATATTTAGTAAAAGCCCGAAGTATGCCAGGGAGACAGCAGGAAATGAGTCCCATGGGTGCTGTAAGTTTGCCTGGCAGGTTTGGGTACAGGGAGATGCTTTGTGGGAGGATCAGGTTGGAGAAGCATGAATGGGAAAGTAGCAGCTAGTGGCTGAGGACCTACTGGAGGATGGTGTCCTGCTGCTCTGCATGTGCTTTCCCTTTTACTGCACATAGTGGCAGTTGGCCTCATGCTAATGCAGTCCTGTTCCTCCATCGGGGGTCTCTGCAACTAGGCAAGGGGCTACTGGTGCCAGCAAGAGATATTACTTTCTGAGAAAGCAAAGCTTATCGTGATCCAGTGTACAAACACTGAATATTGATAGAGCTGGGCCTGAAATTACATAGGAGTTCTTGCTAGGATGGGATGTGGTAGGATGATTCTCTCCCACAGTTGCCCTGCTGTCCCCTTTACAAGTGTTGCTTAGCTGATTTCTTTGTTTCCTTTGCATCTGCTCTGCACCCCTGTGTGGTTTAATTTCAGGAAGCTTCAAGTCTGACAAAGCCTGCAGGCTTCGGGGTTTGCTGAAGGCAGGAAGGACCTGGGCAGCCAACTAACAGTCCCTGGTGGTTTGTGCAGTGCTGGCAGCATGAATGCATATCGTTGTACAGAAGTTCTGGGGGAGACCTGACCCCCCAGCACAACTGTCCTAAAATCCACGGTGAGATATCCTTGTGCCAGCCCCAGCTACAAGGAAAAGGCTATGCGGGCATTTGTGCAGGTGAGAGAAAGGCGCCGTAGTTCACCCTGCTCTAACAGAAGCACCCAGTGCCTTTAATACCTTTCTGCATCTTCCCAGGTTTTCATATACAAAACTCCCTCCTTAAAGCCAAAACCCACAGCCACGTGACAGCAGCTCCGGCCTGCAGTTCTGGCTGCTGTGCTTTGTGATGCAAGCAAGAACACTAAACCTCCAAACTTGCCCTCGTGTGTGGTGTTCAAATCCCTGTTATTAGAGCAAGCTGATAAGCAAAGCTTTGCAACCTCTCTTCCAGATTCTGGCACCAAGTAAATCAAAAAGAAGAGGAGCTGGCAGAGAGCATGCTGTGTTGGCAGAGGGGTTACCCTCGCCCTGCTGCTGGGTTATGATGGGAGAGATGGGTGGGTAGGGTGGGAGGGGAAAAGATGCTTTCCGCAAAAGATTTTTTAGCAGGCAGAGTTAGTCTTTCCCTGAGACATCTCTGAAAGCAAGTGAAAAAACGCCGTCACTTACTTGGAAAGCTGTTGAAATCCTTCTGGAGCTTTCTCTTGCTGTTTTCGCTTGGGCTCCAGGAGTGGGGCTCTCCCAGCAGCAAGGGGATGAGCAGCAGGGAGGGTCCGGCTGAGGCCAGGTGGGTGGGCAAAGCAAAAGTGGGTAAAGCAGTATTCAAGTTCGGCAGCTTCCTTTGCAGTGTGCCCTGGGCTGTCAGCTTTTGGGAGGAGGGAGGAGGCTGTTCTTGGGGCCTGTGCCTGGGTGGGGCGATGAGCAGGCGCGTGGCTTCTGCTGGGTACAAGACTGAGGTTGTGCCTTTAAAAAAAAAAAAAAAAAAAGAAAGGAAGGAAAAGCCGAGAATGAGTCAGTGGAAAAAGCACGTTGGTATGTTTCAGATCTGCGATGCAGCTGTGCAGAGGCTGGCTGTGGAGAGGATGGGATTTGCCTGCAGGACGGGAGCAATGGATGCCTGGATAGAATGCGAGGGGGAAATTCTGGAGCCCCCAGTCTGGTCTGGATGTGACCCCCATTCTCCCCAGGGGATGCTGGTGGGACCAAGGTTGGAACACATGGGAATGAGGATGGGACCCGAGCATAGCAGGTTAGGGCAGTGTGTGAGAAGCCCTTTCCTGGTCTCAGGCGAAGGGGCGGGAACTGCTGTTTTTGTGCCTGAGAGCTGGCTGAGCCTGTGGGGAATGATGCCAGTCTGGCTGGGTTTTCGAGAGGAGCAGGAACCTGTCACCATGAACTCTGTCAGGTTTTGCTTCTTGCCTTTGGGATGGATCCACTCTTGTGGATCGAGCAGAGGGGTGTAATGGCTGCTATGCAGTGCTGTGGTTTGTGTGAGACAAGCCATGTGTTTGGGGCTGAGTGCAGCCCATGAACTGGAGATCGCAGCACGTTCCTGTCTGTCTCTGCCTTTTTGCTTTCCACTTCCTCTGTAGACTGATGCCTCGCTTTCTCCTCTGCTCCCTGTCCCTTGGCTCCAGTACCAGCCTGTCACAGAGACCAGAGGCTCCATCCCTTTTTCCCAGCCTCTTTGTCACGGTGTCCCCAGGGTTCAACTCAGTGCTCTCAGGATGATCTCTTCAGCACAGGCAAACCTTCAAGTAACGCCCACATTCTCCTCTGCCCAGAGCAAACCTGCGCTAAGTCAATGTCTGTGGTCCAGCTGAGATCTTTGTCTTGAGTACTTCTTACTCCCCAGCCTGGCTTTGGCTCTAGCCTTACCCCATCTCTTTGTGCTGGCCCTGGTTTCTGCAGCAGTGCAGTGCTGGAGAGCACTGTGTGTGTGGCAGTCCCGGACCTCCACTAAGAGCCCCACTGCCAAACATGCTCTGTGCCAGGACAGCAGCCTGTAGGAGCCACGCTGCATCCCCCAGTGAGGGGTGTGCTCCCACCAGTGATGAGACACGTCCCCAAAATCCAGAAAAGCTGCTGGGATGAATTGCCAGCACAGGGAGATCACCCTGCCTGCTCTGCAGGAACTGCCAAAATTGCTGCATGGAGCACAGCTTTGATCTCAAAATCTAAACTGAAACTCCAAAAGCTTTTCTTTGCAAATGCACGTAGGTTCCTTGGTATGTGGATGGAGCCGGCTGGCCCTGCGAGCTGATCGCAGCTGTGGTGGGACTTGGGGTACAGCTTTCTGGGTGAGCCATGAACAGTGCTGAGCTGCAAATAATGGGAGTGGAAACCGCCTTTATCTTTTAATCTCCTTTGCTTGTAAATCAGGTTTTGTGCCTATTAATTTCTGGGCAGGTGCTTTAATTACAGTTCGGGGTGTGAAGATTAATGATAAATCTGTGTCATGCTCCTTTCTCCTGGGAGTCAGCCACACTCAGCCTTTGACTATGGGCTGGTTCATGCTACAGAGCAAAACAAAGAATTTCATTGTCATTTTGTCCTTTGTTCTTCTCTCCCCACAGCCTCTATGGAGTTAGACACCGGTAATTACAGTTTATGTTCACAACAGTCACCTCAGTTACCAGTGAGCCATAATGGGTCAGTTTAAACAAGAATGCAGTAGGAGAAATTTCAAGGGGATGAGCATTTAGAAAGGGATGCAGTGGGGGTAAAATTTGTGTTTCTAAAAGCTTTTTTTTCTCCTGTGTGCTGCTAATGCAAAAGGAGTGAATGGAGAGATTTCCATTGCTGCCTCGAGGCCCTGGGTTCTGTCATCCTTGAGCTGTATGGAAATCAGTGCCCGCCTGCTGTTGCAAAAGGTTGGTGCTGCACCCTGCAGCCATGTGGCTTACCCAACTGTTCCTCCGTGTGGCTGGCCCAGTGCCAGTCCCACATGCTGCCCCAGCTCCTTGTCCCTGCACTGAAATAAAGAAACCCCAATGGTTTTATAAACAGCCTTTATGACTCTTGTGCATCGAGCCTGAACGGTAAGCCTGAAGTATTTATTTGGAGCTGGCTACTCAAACAAACACTTGGGCTGATGTATAACGTTCATCTTCATGCCAGAGAGGAATCCAGATGAAGCTGCAAGAATGGAGCATCCTGCAGAAAGTTCTTGGCAGGAGGGTCAGCCTGGCCCCCACCTCTCCTGGTCCAGGCAGCCTGTTTCAGGAGTTTCCCCTTGAGCCGTACCCATGACACCAACCATACTGCTCCCCTCACAATGTAGGATATACCCCTTCACTGGTTTATTTTTTGCATCGCCTTTATTTTAAATCTTTTCATGGCCTGGAAACTGCATGTGTGTGTAGGGGTCAGTGCACGGGGGGCTGATGGGGAGACAGGCAGCCCAGCTTGCAATGCTGCCCAAATGCACAGCACTCCTTGGTGTTGCAGGGAGCTCTTCCCGCTCCAGCTCTGTCACAGGCCATGAAGTGCATGTGATGAAAGAAAGGAAGTTTTGTACATATACGTCAGCAACTGCTTCCACACAAACCTGTGGCATGGTGCCACGGGATGCACAACGTGCCCCAGCATCCCCACGGCTCATCTGTCACATCGAGGCCTTGGCCAGCTGCCTTGTTCAACCCAGAGCTCATTGTCTGCATTACGCAGGCTGTAGGGCTGCATATGGGGAGCAGACGGGGTCACCTGGGTGCCAGTGCTGCCCTTTGGGTGCTTGTCACCCCACAGTCCTTCTCCCAAAAGCGTGGCTCTGCTTCTGCTCACACCCCGCTGTAATAGGCCACAGCTTCCCGCCGGGGAGCAGAGGGCTGTGTGGGGGGTTGTGCGGGGGGCAGCCATTCCCCAGCCCAGCCATTGCTGCTGAGGGGTGCAGCTGGGTGGAGGTGCAGCGGGGGCTTGCACCTGTGCCAGCTTTTCAGGGCCGTGTTCATGGTGCCCCAGTCGGTGATGCCTAAAAGTTTCTCTGAAGCTTCCCCAGCATCTGTAGGGGCTTTTCTGGGTGGGTGGCAGTGAGTTGCCACCAGGTCTTTGCTCATGCTCTGGAAGAACTGCTGGATGCAGACCTTGGCAAAGCTCTTGGCGTGCTCTGCACAGGTCTCATCAAAAAGCTTGCGCTCGATGTCAATGTAGTGGGACCAATACCTGCTCTTAAGGAAGACAGCTTGGGTGAAGCAGGGTCGGAGAGATCTGACCAAGAATGCCAGCGTGGTCATCAGCAGCACGAAGCACCAGCCCAGGGCCTGTGGGGGTGAGCAGGGGATACTAGATTCATCATGAGCAGACCATAATAACCCCTTTTTCCCAAGCTTCATTTCTCTTCTAAAAATAGGAATGATTCCTATCTGTCCTAAGGAATGCAGGGAGAGCAGCTTTAAAACAGAATACAAGTGATGAGAGAGTATTGGACCATCCTGATTCTAGCTGTGGCCAGGAGCAGAGTACTTGAGAAGAATTAAGCACAGGATGAGAAGTTATTGGCACTTTTTCATCTGTGACTACCTGGTGTGGCTAATAAACACAAGCAGCAAAAGCAACTGGCCTAGGTGGTTATCAGCCCATTGCTTACATGAGCTATTACTAGTGTCCAGAGCAGCCACAGGTTAATAGTGGGTTACGTGAGGTGGTGGCAGCCATGGAGTAACAACTACATCTACTCCTTCTGAACTTGCCATAAATGACTCTTGGTATACAGCTCTGCTGTGCATCACCATCCTGGGCTGCTCAGCCTGGCCCAAGTGGGATCAGTGGTCAGGACACAGGTCCTTGCTCCAGAGCCCTGCCCCATGGTCACCTCCTGCAGTCCATGGGAATGCTGTCAGGGTGAAACCTGCCACTGTTGGGATGGAGCAGAGGGGTGCCCGTGGTCAGGGAGCCAACATCTGGATCAGGCTTGGTGGAGAGAATCCAAGAGGCTTCTGTGAAGAGTACAACTTATCTCCCTGCAAAACAGCCCATCTCTCCTCCTGCAGTTTTATTTCAATGAAAAGCCCCCCTCTAAGGAACAGCTAAGGCTGTCAGCGCATAACCCTAAGCCATCAGAGAGGGCACAGCTGTGATACGCCTTACCTGTGAGATGCAGCGCAGGTACCTGATGGCCACTTCATTGGCAACGAGCTCCTGCCCATCATAGATCTCCTGGCAGGGGATGCGGGCAAGGACCCGCTTCATCTCTCCCTGGGGGAGGCTATGGTGGCTGGCATTGCCCAGGGCCTCCACGGGCAGTGCGGTGCAGAAAGCACACGTGATGCACTTCCCATCCAGCAGTGTCACTGACACCCAGACAGCTGGGGCGATCATGGCCCGCTGCGCCACGGAGCAGAACATGTAGCGCAGAACGGCCGCATCCTTCCCCCGCTGGCCCTGGGGTCGCCTCCACTCCTCAGTCAGCATGGACACGTTGTTGTTCAGCACAAAGCCCAGCAGGAAAAGGATGAGGGGAGGCACCAGGAGGACGCCCAGCCCGTAGGCCAGGTTGTAGCGTGGCAGGCAGGGACAGTTGAAATCAAAGGCTGAGTACAGCTGGGCGCTGGCCAGGGCCATGATCCCACAGATGCCGCTCATGAAGGACTCCTGGTTGGACTGGAGGAACTGGAAGACCATCCGAAACTTGTCCATTTTCCTCCTGAAACAATTCCTCCCCTATAGTGGTCCAAGCTGAGCCTTTGGTTTACTTCATTCTTTCAGACCCTCTCTGCAAAAATGGACATCAGCAAGTCTCTGTACCGTTCAGTAATTCACTTACATGCTCTGACAGCCCCAATATTTAATGCAGGAAATGCAATTTTTTTTTTTTCCTGTTTATTTTGCTGCTTGCAGAACTTCAAGGTTTGTGTCCTCTCGCTCTTCCTTGTGTCCCTGGGACCTGGGATGTTTCCCGTTTGCTAAATCTCACTCCATTCTTCTCTATGTCCTCATTTCTGAAGTCTCCCTGTCACCAGTCCTCCTGGCTGCTGGGCACAGGTGCTGCCTTGGCTGTGCTCTGCCCAGAGCAATCTGTGCCCTGGCAGGAAGGGGACTTGCTGGTTGAGCTCTGTGAACCTGTTTGCAAATTCAGCAGGGCTGCTGGGTGCCTCCCACACTGGATGGGATGCCCCACCTCTGCTCTGCTAACACATATGGAAAATGGGGCTCCAGAGCTTCCCCCTCAAAATCTGCATCACCCAGAGCTTCGCTTCTACAGAACAAACCAAAAAGAAGTGGATTTTGTAGTTGCTCTCCTACATCTTGACTCCCATCTCACAAAGCAGCTTTGGAGCACCACATTACTCCTTCAAGCTGCCCAAAAGATACAGGAGTATTTGGACTCTAAGTGGCTTTAAACATACTGCTGCAGTGCTGACCACCGGCAAGGCATTCACTCTCTCCAGCCTGTCACTACCTGTGCTACTGACATGAGTGTCAAAGTGGTACCACCACAGAGGTGATCACAAAGCACACTGGTAACACCCAGTGAGTCCTAGCTCTGCCTGCTGCAAAGAGGTTAATTGCATGATCTCATCAAACGGAAAGAGATTTGCCTGCATGAATATAGATGAGGATTATTGTATCTCTAGCTAGAAGAGCCAGCTGGCTTCTCTGCTCACCTGGTGCGTGGCTTTCTGAAGCAGTTTACATCAAAGCTGCCATGAATCAGCCTTGTAAATGCAGAGAACTATTTTTGATCTCCAGGAAAACTTTCGTTAAAGATGAATGAGGAGCCTGAGTCTGTTTGGTGTGTAGCAGCAACAGTTCTCATGGAAGCCAATAGCAACTCAGTAGAGTTCAAAACAGAGCTCATATATGTTGATCTTGGTCTCTCCACATTTTTGTGGGAGAGAGCCTTTTTTTGGTGAACTTCCAGCAGGAAACTCGCTCTAACAAATGTTCTGTGCAGAAACACCACGACCCCATCTGCTTGTGCTTTGGAAACCAGGCCTGGCAGAGGTGGTGCATGCCCAAGTCCATCCCAACCTGGGGCCCTGCACCTGGATGCCCAGTCAGACACCATGACAGGGAGTTGCGTAGGGCTCTGTGTGCCCCAGTCAATACAGGAGATAGAGAGGAAGTACAGGAAGGTGATCACAATTCCCATATCATTGGGAACATTGATGGTGGGATGGGGAAAGCTGTCCTTGCAGTCAGCATCACTGTTTCATAGACTCTTGGTGGGTGAGGGGCCCCGAGGACTTCAGACACGTCTGCACAATAGGTGTTAGGACAGCCCTGAGAAACAAAGAGCTGCTAAAGCTCGTTGGTCACCCTCTCCCTTCCTGCTGTCATATGAGAGCACAGTATCCTAACAGACCTGGCAGAAAGGGACCTCTGGGCATCACCACTATAAGACCAGTTGGAATCCAAATATTCCCCCATCTTTTGGCCAGCTTGAAGGAGCAACCTGGTACTTAAACACTGCTTTGTGAAATAGGAGTAGAGATGCAGGAGTGAAACAGCAAGTCAGGTTTTAACTGAGCCAAACTTCTCAGGAACATATCTGGAACACAGACTACTGTGTGCTTAATCTCCAAAATTTCCACATCTGCATAACAGTCACAGTACTTATGCAGTAAAACAATCCTGTGGTACTAGTGGCCACTAACTCCAGAAATGGGTACTTTGCATGAGCATAAATGCCTAATTTCCACTTGCAGGTGCCCAGGTATGAAAATCAGATGCAGAGAAATAGAGAGGAAATTGTGCCCGGCTGCAGTAAGTTTACGTGGCTGTGCTGAAGCCAGATCACTGAAAGTTCTGAGCAGCACATTTATTTTTGTTCATGACTTATCTACTGAACTTCAGCTTGAACTGGTTCCCAATGAGTTTAAACTGATTCAAAATAAGCCCCTCTTAAGTGAGAATATGTCTCCCTCAGACTGGTTTCAGCTAAAAATAAAGAATTCATATCCAACACTCAACAGTCAGGTGCCTAAATCAGCACAACCAACTGGTCAAAATAGGTGATCCTCCTGCTGTGATAAGTGTTGGGGTAGCCTCCCCTTGAGGGGATGGCTGTGTTAGGTCACTTAGTGATTGTTTGGTCAGCTGGTGACTGATCAATAGTTCAATATGTCAATAGCTATTAGATCAGTAGATCGAAGGTCAATGGGTCAAAGGTAACCAGGCCAAATGTCAATGTGTATTAGGTTAAATGGTCGCTAGGTTAAAGATCAATAGCTCAAAGGTCATTCTACCTGCACTGAAGGACTGTTATGATAGATTGAATCCAAAGTTATGAACTAAATGAACATAATCAGCATTGTATATGGATGGTCCATTGACTATGGGAATGTTATGTGTGTATCAAAAAGCAAGATAAATTATGGTAATTAGGATGTGTATAAACTGTGGCACCTGAGCATGATGTAAAAGGTATGGATTAAAGGGTGGATCTTGTCTTGAGTCCCGATTAAAAGCTAAAAAAATCATTGGGTCAAAGGTCAGGGGGTGAAGGGTCAAAGGCCAAGAGGTCACAAAAAGACTGAGTGCCTGAGCACATACAACTACTGTGCCAATGATCCCCCTATCAACCAGAGCTGCCTTGTGACCAGACTGATCCTCCTGTTTCCTCCCAACACAGCTAATAAAGCTATCCCACATCTCCTTCTTTGCATTTTATGTTTTATGGCCACTCTGAGATGGCTTAAAGCCTGAGAGCATGGAAAGCAGCATGCAAAGAAGAGCTGCAGACCTCTGGTCTGAGTGGGGCTAGGAAAATCACTGATTTGACTTGTGTGGAGTGGTGAGTCTGCAGCAAAGCTCATGGTGAGATTTGTGGTGTCATGCCTGGTGATAGTAAACCAGAGCTGAAATTCAAAGTGTGATATTTATTTTGAAGGAAAGCACAGGAATCACTCCCTGGGGCTAAAGAGCATGGGAAGAGCTCTGTGCTGATCCCAGTGGGCTGCACACACAGCTTGGCGTGTGCCTGGTGTGTTTCTGTGGCATTTCAAATCTGGCAGAGCTAATTTTTTTAAATCAAAGTCAGAAAAGTTCACAGTGGCATGAAAAGGTGGGGAACAGAGATGAGGACAGGGAGAGCAATGCACCATGGGGTTTGCAGTAAGAATTTTAATGCACCCAAGCAGCAGTGCTGAACAGAAATATCAGTCAAACACATACCATGACTGAGACTAAACATCTAAAACAGAGGCTAGAAAGAGGTGGATGAGAAAGTAATTGGCATCAGAGGCTCAGAGCTTACATGCTGAAAGTCAGGATGGTTATGCCCAGAGATGTAAGGATGATCCTTTGGGTAGATTGGTTTGTGCTAAAATCTACCAGAAGTGCCTAAAAACCAGGTGTGTCCTGTCCATGGCATGGTGCTGGTGCATGCAGAGCCTTCTGAACACAAACACATGGTTAAATATTTCAATTAGTTATATATATATATATATTGTCATGAATGCTGACTCTGGTGATTCTGGAACTCTGGGATTTTGAGAGCTGAGTCTTACTAGTTCTGCTAGGATGTTCTGCTGGGTGCCCCAGAGCTCAGCCTTTGGACCTGGGGTTCTGGAAGAAGAGGTGAGCACTGTGGCCATCCATCTGCTGGACACAGCTGTGTTGACTTCAGGACAATCTCCCCTTCACATGTGGGTGTGCTGGGTGAATTTAGACCTGGCACTGCAGCTACCTGCCCAGGGTGGAGGAGATCTCTCTTGCTCCAGAGGATGTCTGTGGGTTGCCTGGCTTACATCCAAGGGAGGTTTCTCATAGTACCACATTTTCAGAAGTTTGTTCACCTGACTGTGGTCTGTAATGCCCCGGAGAAGATCTTCCTCTCTCTCCTTCTCTCCAGGCAAGTCAAAACTGTGCTGCCTGATTTCTTTCCGCATGCTTTCAAAGAAGTGAAGGATGCATTGGTGAGCAAAGAGCCGGCTGTGCTCACAGCAGGTTTCCTCAAAAATCTTCTGCTCGATGTCGATGTAGTTACTCCAGTGACGTGCCTGGAGGAGGGCAGCCTGGTTGAAGCAAGGTGTGAGCCAGCGGGCAAGGAAAACAGCTATGATGAGGATCAACAAAATGCTCCAGCCAAGGGCCTGGGTGATAAGAAATAAGCAGAGGAACAGGATCAACATAAGCATAAGGACAGACACAAGCTGTTTGCGTGTACTGCTGAGAAAGGACTTCGTGTGATTGTGCATTGGGACTCCTGTCTTTATCTGTCCCTTAAACCCAGCTCCTGAAACTGCATTTAGGCTGAGAGTGCTGGGAAGGCTGTCACCTCTTCCCAGGGAATACATGACATTTATTTGTGCATCAGCAGTTCAGTAGAATAACTCTTTGCAAGAAGTCTGGAGCATTTGCTTTAAACATGGAAGCCCCTTAGATGAAGGGGATTTGATGCTCTTCTGCTGGCACCCACTTATCTCCACTGAGAGCCACCTGCTACCTACACAGGCTCTGAAGCCAGGTGTCCCATTCTCACATTGTTCCTGAGCAAACTGCTTTAATCTGTCTCAGCTATCACTGTCCTTAAAGCAGTGGCTCCTACCTGCCAAGTTAGAAAACTTTGTTTCTAAGCAGGCAGGATCTTAGCAGGCCCTGATATTCTTCACAACCTGCTTTTTATTATATGGGTTTAGAATGTGCTAGTTCTTTTAGAAGCAAAATTCTGTTGATAAAAAAAAAATACTTTCCTTCCTTCTTTTTCTCTTCCCAGGTGACTTTGGAGATTGTCACTGAGGGCAGTGGCATTTTGGGGTTAAGACAGCAAAGAGCAGCCCTGCTCCCAGCCAGACCACAGCAAAGTTGTGCTAAATGAAGAGTGGGTGCCCTGAGTGCATCCCAGCCATGGGGCTGAGCTGGCAGCCACCCACCTGGGACCAGCAGCGCAGGTACCTGGACACTGCCCTGCGGGATGTGCTGTTCCTCATCAGCTCATCCTCCTTGCAGGGCACCCTGGTGAGCATCTCCTGTGCCTGAGCCAGGGTGGCATTGGCAAAGCCCACAAACTTCCTGGGATCCACAGAGCTGCTGAAGGCGCAGATCAGGCATTTGCCATCCAGGAGGGTAACCACGATCCAAACAGCTGGGGCAACCATGGCTCGCTGCATGATGGAGCAGCACATGTACCTGAAGCAAAAGAGAGACAGGAGCTCAGCTTCTGTCTGGGAAATCCCATTTCTTCAAGTCATTCTCCCTGTGCTGAATGTGACCTGAGTTCTGGGCAATGGTTTGTCTGTAACAGGGTGAAGCTGGTTCTCCTTGCCATTTTACTGGTATATCTGCAATAACAGAGCTGAAGGGAAGGAAATCACAATGCTGTTGATAAAGAATGACCATGATGGTAATGGTACTCTTTTTGCACATACAAGCGTATCATCTTGCACATTTAAGCCCTGGTGGAAAACCCACACATGCACTGACCATGTCCAGACCCCACACTCGTGGGGCAAAATGTGGAAATGAGTTTAGGAGAAGTTGACTTACCAGGAGGATGAAAGATACAGAGAGAAGACAGGATAGACACAGAAGTGGAAGGGAGGACTCTGCTCCTGGTGCAAACCCCACCTGATGACAGCCAGGTCCTTCCTCCTGTGTCCCTGTGGCCGCCTCCACTCCTCCATCATCACCAGAGATTGTCTGTTGAGGATGAGGCCGCAGAGGAAGAGGGCGATGGGGGGCACAAACATGATCCCCAAGCCATATGCCATGTTGTAGTGGGGCAGGCAGGGGCAGCTGAAGTCAAGGCAGGTATAAATCTTTACACTAGCCAGGGCTAACAACCCACAGATCCCATTCATTACAGACTCTGAGTTGGACTGGAAGTACTGGAAGATCATCCGGAAGCGGTCCATTCTGCTCTTTTAGTCAATTCTCCTCCAAGGAAGCTGTTTCCCTTCGTCCCCCTTTCTGCTCCCTCGGGGATGAAGAGAATGGAAGAGGATGCACAGCTTTCAGAGCTCCTTCTTTCACCCCGTGCTATCTTCTAGTATGGCAGTTGGTAGTTTCTGTACCTGATCAGGGGAAAGGAAGCGAGTCCAATTTGCTGATCTTCGCCACTGCTGCCACTGTTTCTTTTTGGTGAAGCAGTCCTCCAGCCCTGGGAGTACAGGGAGGAGGCAGGAAGAGCACGCTTGGCTTTGAGCCCCATTACTACTGAAACAGATTTCCCTAAATGAAAATTGCCTGAAAGGACCAACCCTGCAGTCCGGTGGCTGCGAGAACTGGTGGCTTTCCCAGTCTGGAACGGCACCTTGTGGCAAAGGCTTTGTACTGCAGAGACATTCTTGGCACACTCACATCAATATCTGAGACCTTTGCACTGGGGCAGCTCACATTTCCCATAAATGATGCTGGTGTTGAAGCAGGTGAATGACAAAAGATGTCATCTGGTGTAGGAGAGGGTGTCGTATAGAGAAAATGGTTGTGTTTGCTTCTAAAGCCTCTGCTTGTGTTGCTGTGTGTTGTGCAGCTCTGCCTGCCAGTGACACTGCTTTAATGCTTGTTGGGGTCCTCATTTAATGGCTCTGTGTTTATGTGCTGGCTGGGATAGGGAAAAGTTTGTGTATGCATTGTGGAATGATTACTTTGGAGAAATTATTTTGCCTTTCCAGCTCTCCTGAGCAAAAATATAGAAAAGGCTGAATATTTCCTTACAGCTAAAAAAAAAAAAAAACCAACAACAAAATAACAACCAACCAAACAAAAAAAACACCACAGCAGTATAAAAGGAGTAGCAAGCATCCTCTGGGTGCTGGAAGATGCAAGGGAGTCTTACTTCTTCAGTCTCCTGGCCTGGGTGTTAGAAGTCCATAAAGAATGTCTGGTGGAAATTATTGTGCAGTGCTGTGCTCTGGGGTCCTGCCAGTAACTCCAAGCTGAGATGAGGGGTCATTGAACCACAGGAGAAAGATGATTGTTTGTTGCAAAAGGAGTTTTCTAGAACGAGAGAGAAAGAACCCTGGAAAGAAATGAATTGCTAATCATGGGCAAATGTTAAAAATACCTCTCAAAACCAAAAATGTGATTATTTAGCTTTCTCTTGTTTGACACGGGCACTACCTTCTGAGCTAGACAGCTGCTCTTTTACTGATCATGTTCAGAACTGCTCAGCACACTTTTACAGGCCGCGTGGGACAGACATTTGCTTTCGGCCCAGGTAGCAAAAATGCTGAGTCACGAAGCAGTGATTGAACACCTGGTGGGAGGGCAGGGCCAACCCAGGGGAGCACAGGTGCAAGCAACAGGTGCAAGCAATGATCCTGAGCAACTGGAAGGGGTGGAGCCAGGATCTGACCCTTTCCAGACCTCATTTAAGGGCTGGCAGTGGAAGGGAGAGTATCTTGCTGGAGTTCCCTGTCTGCTGGAGGCCTTTCAAAAGTAAGTAAATGTTCTTCTTTTGTTTCTACATTTGCAGCTGCTGTGTTTGGGCTTGTCCTCATTTGCTGTAGCTTAGAATTTTGCCACCCTGCTATTATTTCTGTGTTTGCCATCACAGCCCAACACCACAGCATCAGAGCACTGGGAAAGGGATGGGGACACCCTTCCCTATATCTTTGTGGGTGTAAAATAGCATTTATGGTTTCATGGCTTCTTTACTTAAGATGATGGAGAGAGTGTTGTTATGAGCTCAAGCACCCTTGCCCCATAGGTGAGAGCCCTTCTGGTGTGGCACAACCTTTTTGCTTTGGGGAAAAGGATGATTTCACTGATGAAATCTGTGTTGATTGTTTGAAGTAGAATAAATTTTGTGGAGTGGTGGCTGCCTTGCAGACCCTGTGTTGTTCCAGGACAGAGCTGGCACCCAGGAGTAGATATTTCATCTAACTCCTTTTCTGTTGGAATTAGGCTGTGGCTACCACCTCCTGTGATAAGGGAGATCCTAGTTTACCTCGTTATTAATGGCTGTAAGCAGCTCCTAACTTTGATGAAGGAGCCCAAATTGTTGCCCTACTCCTTTCTGTGCTTCTGCTCCATGTGGTGGGGACCTGAGTATTTTTGCTGAGCACTGTCCCCAGGTGAAGCAAATAATGAGTAACAACCACTAAATAATTAATGAGATGCCAGCAAAAACAAAGGCAGCATTGTGAGATGTAGTTTGCTTCCAGTAATACTGTTCTCTGGTGATTGGGTGCTCCTGTGTTCTGCCTTGTAACTTCATTAAAGTACTAACATACAGCTAACTGCTAGTGAGGAAATAATGGCTTAGTTTTGTGTTGTTCTTCTTAAGAACTCATTATATATTGCTCTCCTGGCCACTAAAGCTTAACTACTTGGTTTATGTGAAAGCCTTCTTTCCTGATCTCTGCATTATCCCAACCCTGACCTAATTTGCACCATTTCTGACTGAAAGAGCTTTTTTCAAGGCCATTTATCTACTTGGCTTTGAGCTGATGTTGCAGCAAGATCAGTTAAGATGGAGTCTCTTCTCATCTTGAGAGCGAAATAGGGAATAGAGTGGAGAATTAGGGAATCAGGTTGATTGAAAAATCACTGAGCTAGGATATTAAACAGACTTCTCTGATCTGCTAACACTTTCACATCTTTTAAGGGAGGTGCAGATGCAGACCTTGATAGCAGATTTAAGGATGCTGACATTTGACTAGCTTGTCTTGTTATTTTTCTCAGACTCTTAAAAATTAGGCTCTGGCCCTGGGGAGTCTACAGTTTGCAGGCTGAAAACCACTGTTAACAAACTTCTATTGATGCAGCAGTTTGTCTTCAGTGTGCAGAGATGTCATAAAAACTGCTGAGGTGTTCAGAGGGGAATATGGCTTGGGTGAAGAAGCCCAACTCAGTGTGGTGACCCTCTGGGCTGGGCAGCCCTTGGTGCTGGCACAGTCCTACTCTGGTGTCACTGCCTCATTCTAGGCATTCAGTACTGGAATCATGGCTCCTACACCACCAGTTGTGTCTGTATAGTTGTTAATCTACCAAAGACCTTTAGGTAAGTCACAGAATGGCCAGGGTTGGAAGGGACTTCAAGGATCATGAATCTCCAACCCCCCCTGCCACATGCAGGGTCACCAACCTCCACATTTAATACTAGTCCAGGCTGCCCAGGGTCCCATTCAACCTGGCCTTGAACACCTCTAGGGATGAGGCAGCATGTTACAGCACTTCACTGCTCTCTCTGTGAAGAACTTGAAAGTAAGTCAAGGCTAAAAGCTGAATCTGCTACTGTAGTTTCTGCCATCTTCTAGAGAATCTCTTGGTCAGTGAGTTTGAGAGCTCTTGATGTGTTTGGTTACTCACATCTAGTGTTTAGGCTGGTTTGCTGTTGTCCTTCTCCTGGCTGCTCCGATCTTACTTAATTTAACCTGGTTGTGTTTCAGTACTTCCAGACAAGTTGTGCTGGGTAAGGTTTGGGTTGAATATAAGAAAAAAACAGCTTATCCAAAAAAGTGGTTGGGCACTGGCACAGGCTGCCCATGAAGGTGGTGGAGTCACTGTCCATGGGGGTTTTCAAGAAATGTGGAGGTGTGACTTAGTGGGCAATATTGGTGGTGAATAGATGGTTGGGCTAGGTGATTTTAAAGGTGTTTTTCAACCTTTATGATTCTACCTCCGTCAAGAAGAGATGTTATGGAAGGAAGTACTTTCTGTTGTCACCAGCAACTTAGGTAGTAACCATTTAAGTTACTGGATGAGCCTCTTGAATTTACAGGGTGTGAACCATAGCACAGATTTCCTAAAGCTCTCCTGTGGCCACAGATATGTTGTTATAACACGAATTCACCTGTTCTAGTTGTGATCAGGCTTGACTTCAGGGCCTCTAGGATGCACAAATGATGACATATGAGTTCACTAGAGACTATCTGATTAATGTGACAGATAACAGTATCACTTCTTACAGATGTTTCTGTAATTTATACCTTTAGAAGGGAAGGAGTTTCTAAAAACAAAATTATCAGGAAATTTCACTTCCTCTCCTTTTCCTCCCACGTCACAGGGGAATATCTTTAATTGTGGCCTTCAGAAAAGCTGACTGTGTTTTTGAGGCGGGCACAGAGTTACAAAGAAGCACCAATGCCACTGCTGTGGGGTGGTGCATTAGAGCTGGGGCTTTAAAACATCCACAGAGCACGTAAAACTGCTGCTTCACAGTAGCTGCAATTCATCTGCAGGCAACATTAGAGTCCTGTTTTGTGAGGTTGTCTTGTCACCCAGCTCTTGCCCATCCCTGTGTACAACAGCTGCCTTCTCATATCATTAATAGTCTTCTGTGTGTATTTATGTGATTTATAGAGGGCTGAATGCCTTTAGAATGTGCAGAATGTAAGTGCTGTTATCTGATTGTGGCAATTCTGCCTCCTTCCAAGGAAAATAGCAGCCTGCCTTGACTTCTCAGAAGGTATTTCCTTTCACCAACAGCTGATTTACTCTGTGATGACCGATGAACTGCAAATGGTCCTTGTGGCAGATTTCATCTATGCTTTGTCATAATAAATGAGAAACTAAGATATCCTAGGAAGATCAGGACACTTGGAGTTATAGCACAACTTTTCTTTCACTGTCAACTCTTGTTTCTATCATGCTCTGATCTTGGATCCTGCCTCTGAGTTTGAGTTTCAGAGCACAAGATCTAACAGCTGCTGGGAGGAAGAGGTGGCTGCAGGTTGCTGTGGTTTGGGGCTGCAGTGCTGGCAGCTGGTATGTCTCTGCTGACTGCACCTAGGAATGTGACTGTGGGAGGATTCACACATTTTTAGAAGAAGCAATCCCAAGAAACCAGTGAATTTATTGTGAGGTGATTTGGATGAAAAACCAAATGGCCATCCCAACCCCAGCTAGTTCTTCTAGATTACCAAGGACAAAACTATGCCATCTCCATTTGGTTCTTCACAAAGCAACTCTGCTCTCTGATCCTCAGAGCACAAAATACCTTAGGAAGATAAAATTAAGGACTGTGATCCATAACCCTACTGAATTCTAACATTTGTGGACTCAGCAGAGAAATGGCCTTATAGGGCATGTAATTTTCCATATCCTCTGCATCAGGCCAAATCCTTGTGGTCCTGCAGGCAATAATTACCTGCTGTGCCTTCTGTCTTGCAGAGGATAATCATCTCCTCACGTTCCCTTTTGCAACGTCCTGTCTCTCTCCAACCACTCCTGTGTTTTTGAAGCAAATAGCCAGCATCACAGTATGTGGGATGATAGGATCCTGTGGCACTGTAACTACCACCCTCTGCTCCTTCATGCTTTAATCAAGACCCTCTGCTGGTAAACACTCCAATCTCTTCTCCTGTTGCTCTGTAGTGGGTGCTTGTCCCTTTGAGATGCTTCTTCACAGCTCATGAAATTTACCTTTTTCATTAGCTGATGGTATCCCTTCTCTGCAAAATAACATGCTATAGTGACACTATAGAAAATACATAAGGTTTCAGCCAGGGTCCCTCAGCAGCCTGTGGTCAAGAAGCTTTCTTGCAGCTGATTTCCCAGCCAAAGAGCAGTACCTCCAGCATCTTCAACCTGCTCAGTTTCCCCCCTTCCCCTCTCCCCCCCCCATTCTTCCTGGTATTTATCCCATTTTCACCAGCCTCTCC